ATTACAACTGCTGCAGAAAACAATCATCACTGGAAGGCCACAAAGCAAACGCCAACTCCCTGCGCAGGTCACACCACACTGTAGAGACAAACTGTCAATTCAAGATGGTCTGATATTTTGAGAAGAGAAAGTAGTCATCCCGCATAGCACTGTCCATTCAGAGTTGAAACAAATATGACCTGTCAATCACCCTTATTACAGTCATCACATGGCAATGTACACTGTGTCTTCCCATGATTCCATGCGCACTTCAATTTGCAAGGTTTGAGTTAATATGACAAAAACATTAAATAAGGGATGCTGTGACAATGTCACAATTTGTACAATTTTATAAACATAAATGTATTGTATAAATAGTCATACAAATAGAGAATATAGTTGCTAATAATAATATATGTTTTTGGTATCCAGGTGAAAATCGAAAACCAATAAACAATATGTAAATATACAGTTCTGGTAACACTGCAAACTGGTTACTAAGGTATATTAAAAGTAGGTGAGCGTCCTATTTCACAACGTTCGTTACATTCTTAGACATAGTATTGAAAATATCAAAATTAATTTATTTTAAGTAAGAATATTTGGTCATAAATGCTACATAACAAATGTCAAGTTGAGAAACAATTACCCACTTCAGCGCATGAGGGCGCAAGCAGAGCGATCACCGCATGTATATAACAAGGAGAAGATTTTGCTATTTGTTTGGAGAAAAATGAAAAATTAAGCGATGACTATCTATACTACGGCAACAAGACAAATACACATACTAAAATTTCAAATTTTTTTATATCATGCTGCCAACAGCATTTAGGCACTCAGTCTTTTTTTTCCTTTTCACGCCTCGTGATAGGATAAAATTTGGCTATTGACACTTCTAGCACAAAAACCTGTATCACGTACACATTTGACATTTGTATTAAAAAAACTACTGGTCGTCTTGTGTCAGATTACGTTTTAAAATTGGCCGTCAATTATTATATCTTATTATGTTAACATTTCTCATAACTGTCAACTTCCATGTTTATAACGATATGTGTACGGCCATGCAAACTTGTCTGTATGTGAAATATACATCATATCTTGCAGCAAACGAAAAATATGCTGATTATACCCAGGCCAACAGATGGAACAATGGCATGACATGACATCGACTGTGAGACTTTCTTTTTTCGACATTTTGAATTTATTTTCGATTTTATACAGAAAAAAACAGTATTTTTAACAAGTAATATCATATTTATGAAAGTTACTGTTCATACATGAGTTGTTGAACACACTACATAGTATGTAATTTCATTCATTTTCTTTCAGTCGTAATTCAAGAAAAATAAATGGCAACAATTTTGAGAATATTCTTGTGTAATTATGAAAATTATTTATTGGTGGATATGAAATATAAATTTCTGAATTATCTTGTCAAAATCAGTTTTTCTGTTTTTTTTCACCCAAAAACCGAAAGAATAAAACAATGTCGAAAATGGAAAGTTTTGATTGTAGTGTTTGATTTCTTCTGTAGTTGATACATATATTTGGGGTTCAACACAATATGTATATATACATTTATAATATGTCCTTGCATTGAACAAATACGATGAATGTGAAAACCGATTACTTCAACACATCATTTTCAAATTCATAAACTGAATTCGAAACACTCGTTTAATTTCTATAAAGTAATGCGGTTGTTGATTTTTTGGTGCAGCGCCACCAAGCCAATCACAAGGTAACCAGTACAAACAAACCAGATTGTTGTTTAAACAAACTTGTCCCCAGTCACCCCAACGCACTAAATAAATTCTCTTATAACTTAAGGTATGTAGTCGATTATACACACGACTGTGTCAGTGGGGTCAAGTGGTGAACTTTAGTAAAACATTAAAGTTACGATTGTTTCAGGCGATTCACCACAAACCGTCCATTTATATTGACAATGTTAATGTACTTGCAATTATTATCCTACACAATATTGTACATACAAATGTACTGTTTATTTGTATTTATTTGTACTGTATTTTTTTTAGACGATGACGATTTAGCCTTCTCCACAAGTTTACATTAGCGGGAGACAAAACATCTAATTCGTATAATTTGTTTTCTAATTTATGATTCTTGTCGCATATTCGTAGTCCCACTTCTCCTCCAAGTAAAACGCATAACTTTAGGATGGCG